AGGCAGCAGCTAACAGCATAGTAACTGTGGGCTACAGTAACAGAAGAATGGCATGTAGGTAGGTTGATGTGGTTATGTCCCTCTACTCAGCAATTGTTGGGCTTCCCCTGGAGTCCAGTTTTGGATCCCCATATACAAGAAAGAGATTGCTAAATTATATAGAGTTTAGAGGAGGGTCACCAAGATGTCTGTGGCTGGAGCACATGGTAGGTGAAGAAAGGCTGAGGGAATTGGGCTTGTTCAGCCTAGAGAAGAGGTGGCTGCAGGTGGAGCTACTAGTAGTCCATCAGTTTCTGTTGAGGAGCATATTGAAAAAATGAAGCCAGGCTCTACAGAGAAATGCATGGCAGAAGAACAAGAGGCAGTGGACCTAAATTGCAGCAAGGGGTTTAAGTTGGCGATAAATGAAAAGCTTTTTCAGTCTGAAGACAGTCAAACAGTGAAGCAGGTTGCTCAGACAGGTTGTTCAACTTCCACCATTGAAGATTTTCAAAGACCCAGCTGATAAAGAACCCCTCACCTTAGCTTGATCCTGCTTTGAGCAAAAGGTTGGACTAGAAAACTCCAGACAAGCTGAATTATCCTATGCTTTATATTAATTGTACTTAGCACCTTCATCTTGGCTTTTAAAATGACTTTTTGTTCCCTTTGGGGAGAGGAGGTAGGTGCAGAGATTTTTTTTTTTTCCTTAAAATCCTGTGCAAGAAATGAGAAGTAATTCTGTGAGCTGGTGAAAATATGACATGTAGGTATAAATGGCATTAGTCACATTTCATGCATTTCCATATATTTCAATTGCTATGTTCCTTTTTTTTTTCCTATATAGTTATAAGGCCTTTAAAAACACCTCCTTAGACAGCAGTAGTTACTGAAGAAATCTCCAGATAAAAGGGTTAACATGCTATTCATACAATTACTAGATCTAGATAGAAGTACTGCTTTTCAGCCTAATGAGCTTGTCCTTCATGCAGTCCCAAAACACTCGTGAGTACAGTGTTTCTCCATTCTGTGGTGTTCCTTTAAACAAAAATACACTGGGCTAAATTCAGCTCTGCAGTTACTCTGATCTCAGACAGATCTCTGCAATCTTGTTGATTCAGCTTTAGAGATATAAAAAGAAAAAAGCAGTTGATTAGGTTCTTAAGACATTAATGGCTAAGGCTAGTGGGGTATTTTCAGAACTAACCTTAAAATACTTGAATGCGGAATTAGGCAAGTATCATGCTTTAAAAAGAAGGTCCAGATGAATGTATTTCTATGTTCAGTCTTGTTCCAAAGCAGACCTCTGTGTCTATGGATCTTCATTGCAAAACTATCCAGTGTCTCAAATTAAAAGTTGGGTTAGAACGAGTTGTAGGAAGGAGTAAAAAAGAATTGTTTTTTTTTTATTTTACACAACCTAGATCTTTACCTTGCTCAGGGATCTGTGAACCTGTCTGAAAGAACTAAAATCAGCCACAGAAAGAATGTTTTGCAGCAACCACTGTCTGGGGCTCATGGCAGACCTTGCTAAGCCATTGCAATTTTAAAAGTATGCTCACGACTCAGGCAACAAAACGCACAAGTGGGAGTCAATTTCTTTATTTATGTTCTATTCAGACTCAGCTGGTCTGTACTGGGTTTGATTGACTCCTTCCAAGATGGCTAGAAATTGGAGGATTTCTTGCCTTCCCCACACCTGTGAGGTTCATATGACATGACTTAGCAAAATCTCTGTGTGTCTGCTCACTTGCCTGCTTAAAGACTTCCTGTCCCAGTGGTGTCTGTGTGGTTTGTGCCCTGCAATGTTCTACTATCATCAGAGCAGCGTCAGCATGCTCACATCTCTGAGCTACGGGTCATGTATGTTTTGAGCCTTCTGAGTGCCAAAAATGAGATGTATCCCCTGCTTTGGCTCCTTATATGCCTGCACTCCTTCATTCGTTTCCTCGGGGTATTGAGGTGGAGGGGATGAGGTAAGACAGGAGCAGGACTCACCTGGGCTCCATACTTGCCTCCAAGAGGTGGGAAATTACTCACTGTAGGTGAGGTTTCGCTGCTGCTAACATGTTACTAGCCTTAGTAAAAATAAATGGCTTCACTAGAAAGTATGGAAAATGTATATTAATTATAGCAGGAAGTACCTTTTCTTGAGGAGCAGATGGTTCACTGGGTTTTGGGCTAGGAAAAATGATTGCTGATGGACTCAAGGACAGGAATCTCATGGGACCTGCTCTCTTATGGCAGAGTAGTAGAATGATTTTACTGTATTCAAAAAATTTCTATCCAGTTAACACAAAATAGCTTTCTTTCCTAGGAGCTTTGATTTTTTTTTTTTCCATGTCTGTAAAGTAGAAGTACTGGAACTGTGCTGCAAGGCTTTCAACGACTCTGCCTTCCTGGTGTGGAATGTCCTGTGTGCCGTATGAGTGTGCTGGCTGCAGACTATTTCTGTGTGCTTGTCAGGCTTCCATACAGGCACCCTTGAGCTTTGTCTTGTGCCATCTTGTCTGGGTAACCTGTATGTCTTGAAATTCCTCATGCATTTTGTTCCTGCGTGCTGACTGTTCACACCACCTTAATTCCAGCTCTGGTGCATGTAGCCTAGGTGTTGTAGCTCATGTTAATTGCTACCTTATGACAAGGGCCTGTGTATCATATTTTATTTGCTAGGGTCTTTTTTTGTCCTGATAGTTTGCCAAAAGGCTTTTGAGGTAGGATCTTCATAGCATTAAAAAAAAAAAAAAAGAAAAAAAAAAAAAAGGCTTCAAACCCATAAGCAAAATGTGCAGGTGTTTTTGGGCTACAGGTGTGAAATGCTAAAATGTTTGCTTTGCCTTATATGAAGGGATTTCCTCGAGTCAAGCTTACAGAAGCCCAAGCGTACAGAAACCCTCTGTATGTTGACAGATACAAATTGATTGAAGTTGGATGATGATAATATGCTATTTGTAGATACGTCCTTTCTAGATATATCTTGTTACTTTGCTTTCCTGGTGAGGTAAGCCTACATTAATTCTATCAAAATTAATAGTTTCCATCCTTCAAGTAGGTAGATTATTAATTATACCTAACTAGCATTCTGATAGCTAAATCACATGAAGATGAGTTTCATAACAAGATTTTAATATCTCCTTTTGCTATGGTACCATATATATATATATATATATATATATATATATAAAGTACAATAGTAAGAATACCCAAGCCCCCCAAAAAAGAAACCCAAACACATTTTTCCCTTAAGATTTGGTGAATATCTAATATGAAAAATCAGTATGTTAACTTTTTTTTTTCTTTTTGAGAACATATGAAGCAAATTCTTGAGTGAGTTTACATTTGTTTAAATGACATTTTATTTTAAAGACTTATAAAAACTAAGTAAACTTTCTAGTCTGAATTACCTTTAATCATAAGAAAATTATTCTGTCCATCAATCTTAATAAATGCTACAAGTGTTTTGTACACAGGCTATACCCAAGGCTGTGAACCATTTGACATACATGTGTCATAACTGCACTTCTCCAAAACTTCAATCAAGTTCTTCAAGCAGCTGTTTAGATTAAAAAAAACCAAACACTTTTGAGACGTCTTTCTGATGAAGGAAACATAAAACATGTGAGGTGGATGTAACCAGGGCAGGGAGAGGTTACCAAACAGCACGCAAGCGTCAGTCCTTGAGGTGTAAATTACAGTGAGTTGTGGATCTTCTAAAATTGTCTCTTTTACACAGGATAATCTGAACCATGTAAAGTGTAAGGCTATCCTAGAAGTTCCTACTTTGATGAGCTTTCACCATAACCCAAGTATCTTGCTGGCTTGCTGTCTGCACTGCAGGCTCCAGGGCCTTTGCGCTCTATGAACTGGGCAGCTGTTCCATGCATGCTGCTTCAGCTGGGGCACTCTCCCACACTTCCAGCTGTGGCAGCTGCTAGGAAACCAGTAGATCATGAGATGAACATCTTGATAAAAGGAGCTGGAGGAGTTCTCGCCCACTGCCTGCTAACTCTGGCAACAGCCAGTGTACTTGGGCTTTGGGAGGCTTGTTCCTCCCTCCCCGAGTGGAGTGCATTGTAGGCCTTTTGCAGCAAATTCTGAGTCCTGACCAGCTGCCCAAGGAACTACCACATTCTGCCAAGTTAGCTGGATATTCTGGAAAAAACTGAAAAACTCTTCAGATGATGATATGTGTTGACCTGAACAATTCTTTGCCATACTAAAAAATAACAATAATAATAAAAAAAATATCATAAAATTTACCATTACTTGTAAGCTGCATCTCATTTTCATGCCTGCTATTGGGGGTGTGTTTAACAGCTGTGTTCTCTCAATATCTGCAGCACAGCTTGTCCTTGGAGAGACAGGGGTGCTGGGCACTGCTTGCACTCTTACCTTGCTACTGGGGTCTGTCAGGAGCTGGCAGGGATGGTTCAGTGCTTCAGCCCAAACCTCCTTGTATCTGTCAGTCCGAATGTGCTGCAGACCCCAATGAAGTTTTGGGTTATTTCTAAGTGTCATTGGGGAAAAAAAAAACAAAAACTGAGAACTGTAAAGACACAGCTGGGCTGCAGCAGCAGCTTTCCATGCAAACACAGTATCTTACTTAGTGGCTGTGAGCATTCCTTGTAGTAGATGTGTGTGTGACAGGAAGAAAATTATTTAATAGTATCCTTCTGGACCAATTTTAAACAAAAAGTGAAGTTTTTTTAGCAACTAAAATATGTGTTGCTGAAGGGACAAAAACACTTCCAGCATTTATCCTGCAGCCAAATGTAAAATAAAGATATATTGTTCTTTTATGTAAGGCTGACTTGTTTCTGTATAGATAGTGGTCAATTTTGCAAAAACATCACAAAGATTTTTAATGTATAATTTCAAGTTTGGAAGTTCTTTGAGGCATTAAAATGGGGGAGACTGATCTGTACACCCCTGAATATAAATATTATAGATAAAACAGTCATTAATGCTTCAGAACTATAGGGATTTCTTAAATTTAGTTTTGTTTTTTATAGGCATGCATTTCAAATTCAACTTTTCACTGTACGTGTGTATGTGTATGTCATTGCCCTCTACTGGACAGATCTAGAGTAACTTTTTGAGCAATGCTGCCAGCTTGCTTGGAGTCTGTGGCTGTTACTTCAGCACAATCGGAAGAGGGACGCCTTCACACTCCCAAGTATTAAACGAACATATGGAAATATCTCTGTAAGGTGGGTAGATTTGTCTTTGTATTTTGTGTGTTTAACCAGTAGTTTTTAAATTTTAATTTGTAAAAAACCCTGATGTTTTTAGATCCTTGTTTGTTTTGTGGAAAGTAGTGCAGGATAAGACTGCTTATCCTTATTAAGAGGAATCACTTATATGGGATGGATGTGGAAAATTCTCTTTTGTCTTGGTAGACTCTCCCAAACATTTCATAAAATGCAAGAATTCAGAAAATTACATTGGCAGTGAAATTATAATTGTAATGGACAATGTACTTGTGTTGTAGTTCATGGCTAGGTCAATGTCATGTGTTCTAATACTTTATTTTTTTTTTTGGATTAAATGTTAAAATGAACAGGATTAGGATGGATAGATAATTAAAACCAACTGTCTCACTGTTTTTACATTGCAGTTGGGGGACTTGATCCTGCCTTGTGCCCAAAGCCCCTGTTTAATGACAGCTTGGGCAGGATCAGCTCTTTTTAGGTTAGAGGTTTTTTTTTTTTTTTGCTTTATTGGTATCTGACTTTCTGCTGTTAACAGGACCGTGCCTGGAGGTGGCATCATTTGATAGTGAGTAGGGACAACTCTCTGATGTTTTGAGGGTTTGGATTCTGAGTTTTTGGGGAAGGAGAGGTGCAAAATAGTCTCACGTTGCACCTCCCGTTTAGTGAGGGCTGCTACAACTTGCATGTTTTCATGCAGGACAGGAAGGATGGGTTTGGTAAGAGTGGAAGGAAGGAGACAGCTGCCACTAGTGAATGGCACTTGGGAGGGTATCTTGTCTGGGGATGCTTTTCCCTCATCTGCTCACCCAGTTCATAGCTGTTCTCTTCTGTGGCTAGATCGTCATCTGTGCACACTAAATGGAGTCTGCTGTCTCCAGAGATGGTAAAGTTGAATTTTTAGTACAGTGCCACGTAGAGAACGTTTGGTTGAACAGAAGGAAAGATGAGAAAAACAGGTACTGTATGATACAAAAGGATCTAATGTTGGGAGGGTGGCAGGCAGAAAAAAAAGAGGGAAGTCCCAGGCTGGCTCTGTGAGGACCTACTAGTGGAATTCCATGAGGTCTTGGGCCTCCAGCAAGTAATGTTTTGATGTTGACCTCTGGCACAAAAGTTGGGAGCAATTATGAAATGATGAATGATCACAGAAATTTGAAAGGTGCCGTAAAAACAGAGGAGGAGGGTTGGGCTGTCACACAGAAAAAAAGTACAATCTTGAAAGCTTCAATAGCAATAGAAATGGGGAAAGATTTAGTGTTCTAAAGAGCAAAATCATATTTGAAGGGTTTTTTTGGTCCTTTTCTCATGGAGTAGATATGTAACAGATACAGGTCTACAGGCATAACTGTCTGAGATATGCTGGTCAGCATAGTTAATTTTAAAGCAGAATTTGATTTTAAATAAATAGTAGTGAAGAAAGAGGAGATTTAACATCTCACTGGTAAAAGAGACATACAGTAAAATGATACACAGAATGGAATCTTTACCTGGACTTTGTACAGTCCTTGCTATTTTCTCTGAAGTGTTTTAGAACACCACTGTGCTCTTATGGCTGGAACACTAAGAAGCAGTATGAAATGAGACCTGAAAGGAAGCAAACCTGTACTGAGTCACCGGTAAAGTGACCTGCCAACATCTTCTGTTCTCTTATACACACGGTTCATTAGAACTTGTGTACACCAAGATATCTCTCACTGTGCAATTAGTATTATCGAAACAGAAACATCTAGGCAGAGCTTAATCTCCTTGGCATTTCAGAAATGACTTTTTTTGCTAACATTTTAGAGTGTGATGAATTTGGATATTCAATAAAACAAATTAGCATAATATGGTTTGCATACAGGATATGGATCTTTGGACAAGGCATCAGGTTATAAATGAAACTCATCTGCATCTAGCCAGGAGGTACTATGTTTGCTTATATAACGTGACTCCCTCGCTATCAGTGCTCTAGCCCCTTACCATGTTATGCCACTGCAAGGGGGAATAGCTTGAATCAGCCATGAATTATTTTTAGCTTATATTTGACAGGGGATAGGGTCAAAAAGGAAAGAGAAAATTAAGGGTAAGGGGAAAAGTTGTCTGTCCAATTTAAATGTTTGAATGTTGTATGGTGGTTATTAGAGGTAGCAAGAGCTAATAGGGAGTAATTTTTACCAAAATTCACAATGTTGTGGATACGGCTGGGGTTGATGCTGGCATCTGGAAGAGATTTACTACATAAGCTTGATATGGTTGGCTTTTTGTGGTGTTTTTGTTTTTTGGGTGTTTTTTTGGTTTTTTTTGAGTCATACCAGCACTGGATGCTGAAGTGAATAGGGAACTTGTAGACTAGTAGAACAGTTTCAGTACACTACACTTACTATGGTATGTCAGAATGCAGAGATGGGTACTCTATACATTCTGAAACTGAAAGATGCCTCTAAGAGTGGAGATCAGGAGGGAAAGTAATAGCTAGAATCATGCTGAACAGCATGGATAGTTTCTCTAGATAGAACTGTGATGATAAAACTGTGACAAGCTGATGGCTATTGTTGTAGGAACACAAAGTACATGGAAGGATCTTTGTTTTTGTGACTCCCATTGCTGTCCCAGAAAACCAAGCTAAATAATTCCCACCTGTCATAAGTGGGAGTCAGTAAGCCTAGGAGTATTCTCAATACACCAGAATTAAGTTCATAAGGTGCGGGAATATTTCTTCAAAAATTTACCTCCTACATGCCTGAAAAAGTTCATTTAAGATCTACTGATGAGCAGAAGATATGTTAAATAATTTAAAGATAACAGTTTCACTAGAAAGCATGATTTTTTCTCACTTCATGTACTGAGTGAACTAATGTGCAACTACATCCTTTTTTGAAGGAAAAGGATTGGGATTCAACAGTAGAACTTCAGAGGATGTTGGAGAAGCCACATAGCAAGAGCAATCAAGAATTCAGCTGTCTCAGGAAGGAATCAGAGTTTTGGAGACCAAAGGAGCCTATCCAGACAAATGTCCTTCATGCTGTGAGGCTGGGCTGGGTCTAAAGCAAGCAGAGATGGTGAGGGTCCTGGCTACAGCACAAGAGAGGTTTCAGGGTACTGGACATAGTGGTATGGAGGTTGAAATGTACAGGTTACCATTTATGAGAGGTGACTGAACACAGAAGGCAGCTGGTTATTAAAGCACTTGGCAGTTTGTTGAAGGGTAGCTGCAAACATCTTGAAATGACAGGGGCTTCAATTAAACCATGCTTTCTGTCCTTCTCATTCAACATCTTAAATGCAGTTTGAAAATCTAATTCTGCCACCTAAACTTTGTGGTTTTTAGGCTCCATTCAGAGAAGACTTGTTTCATCCAGTCTAGAAAATACAGTACCCTGCCAGGTGGAGGAAGAACGTAAGGAATCAGTGTATATAAAGGAGTATAAAGTTTTTAATTTTGACCAAATAAGACACTGTCTGTTTGCTGTGAGAAATTCAATCATGAGTATACTGGAAAAAATTTTCTGTCCATCTCATGTTTACTAGTGAGGGACGTCACTACCTATTTGAAACATACATCTCTGATTTTGTAAAAGCATTATTCTAACCAGTGTTAGTTTGTTTTCTTATTTTTCTGAATCGCTCTAGGGAAACTCAAGTTCGTGGCCTGAGGAAAATCTTAATGATACACAGAGAACATGTTCAAGTGATAGGCCCATGTAATCTTCATTAAGTCCATGCTGTAAATGCCAAGAAATCAGAGTCACTTCAAATAATTTAGATTAGGGTCTCTTTGAACTGTGTGGCTTGTTTCAAAGCCAATATCCTGCTTTTGCTATGAGCAAGGAAATCCTGCTGATGTTAGTACAATTCCAGCCATGCTTGCCAGGATATCAGGAAGAAAGCCTTTTGCATTGACTTGGACTGGAGAACACTATTTATCTTGCCTCTGCAGTTCCAGGACTCTGAAACCTGCCCTGTTTCTTAGTTTAAAATATTTGGTGATCTTGCAGCCACTCTGGGGAAGAAACTTGTTCAACGGGATTTTGGATGGGACCAACCATATATGCCATGCAGAAATGAAAAGCTGGAGGGGCAGAAAGCAGCTTTTAGTTTTTCTTTTCATAGATGAAAGGCTGGTGGAGCTATTATTTCAGATGCTGCTGGAATTCTGCTCAAATGCTATAAAAAGACTGCCTTGAAGATTATGTCGTTGTTTTAAACAGGAGAGAAAAGCCACTTAGTTAATGTAATGGACCTGTGCATGAAAAGGAACGTGAGTGTCCTTATCCCTGCTTCACAGCTCAAGGAAGTGAAGCTTAGAGAAGTAAGCCTGGCTTACCCAAGATCATGCATCACAGAGAATTGGATGGAGTGATAGAACTGTTTTTATTTACCCTGAAGGCACATCCAGTGTCCTAGAGGTAAGGCTGCAGTAGCAACCTACTGTCACTAGGTTCTTTTAAAAATACCAAAACTTCCATCATCAAAGACCTGATCAAATCAAGCTGTTTTGAAATGAACACCTTGAGATTACTTATCATACTGTGAGACAGTCAATCCAGACTTGCAGCTACTAAATAGGTTTATATCAGAATACAACTTGATTATTTTTTTTCCCCCCTAAATTGAAATGTGCTGGAAAAGACTAAAGCCAGTAGCAAACTTCACTCTGTTCTTCCAAAATATTTAATGTATGAAAAATCTGTGAGGAAAAGAGGGAAGGTTGATAGATGTACATGAACTTTTATTTTTTTAATCTGTTGTAATTTTGGAGTGATTTTGCATACTGTTTGACTATAAATTCAAATCTGAAGTAAAGTTGCAGCGTTAGTGTCAGTGATAGTTATTGCTCTGGTGCCCCATTCTTAGAGATTATTTTCTCACCTATTTGGATTTTGGAGTGTTTAGGGTCTTCATGCTCTGCATCAACAGATTTCAGATGAGGAATTGACTGCAGCATTTTCCAGCAAAATCTGTAATGCTTTCTTTTGTATGATTTTTATTTTGGTAGTATGCTTATCTATTCAAAAGTTAAGGTTCCCATAGCAATGTTAACATGGCCACACTGCACATATGCAGCATTTCCAATAACTGTTAATTTATGCTTGCTCTATATCTTGAATGTTGCTGAATTACTGTTGCTGTGGGAACCTAAACTTTTGAGCCTTCTGACTTCTTAATTCCCATTGAACTCCTTTCTTAATTTCTTGAGAGCTGTATATGTTAGAAAACAGTGGTCAAAGTCAAAACAGATTTTGAATGTATTTTCAAGTAAACAGTTTTAAATTTAAATTTCTATCTAAGGTAGTCACAAATAGCACAATAGCTGCACAGACTGGGGTATGCCCCCAGTTCCTTTAGAAATCAAGTGCTGTTACAGCTGCTGGCATATTCCTCTACCCACATTTACCTCAACAGGCAGGGTTCTTTGAGTGTAGACCAGGGCCATCCTTGGCAGCAATTCCTGATCATGTGAGTGGGGAGAGGGCATTCAATGACATGGATGCTATTTTCAAATCATGTGATGAGGTTCATCTACTAGTAATAATATTTGTAGCATGCTCTGAAAATCACTTGATGTATGTGCAATTTATCTTATTGACTCCTCTCTAAATGATTTAGGGGAACTATTAACCAGATTTACTGTAGGTGATTGCAGGTTCTTCTTGAAATTAAACAGTAGGGGTCTCCAGTTGTGCAATGATAACTTCTGCACTGTTCCTTTCAAAAGCACGATGATTTAAGGATTCGCCTGCATGAGGAAAATTGATTGGCAGGGCTGTTCCCTTCTAACTATGAGGGTATAATTTAGCTGTTCTAGAATAACTCCCACATGTGGATGAAATATTCCAAAATAAAAATGATTTTATTCTATAACTATTATTTCACTTTGGAAATGGAGTAATTATCCCAGAATAAAATAATCACCCTACTTCCAGAGCAGAATAATTATTACAGAATCAGAGTTGCTTATTTTGGACTAGTGCATGAGCACTGAGGAGTTGTTAGGGAGAAGTTATTTTACTATATTTGCCCTCCCTGGTGTTCACAGGCAAGTGAATCCTGCTGGTCATACTGTGCAGCTGGTGGCCTTGAAGTTGTGTTGGGGAACATATGTTCTACAAAGGAGGGTCTTCAGTCATAGAGCCTGAAGTTCTAGGTTAAAAACAACAGTCTATGAAGTCCTTGAACTCTAAGGTTAATTTTAGAGGTTAATTATTAGTACAGGTGATTCCATAAGAGTTGACTTAAATAATGTGTCTGTTACTAATGTGACCTAAGGATCTGGGTGATTTTTGATACTGGAAGCCTTGCTGATGGGACTTACCCAGGGCCAAAGGCTTGGAGATTGGAGCTGCTTAAGTGAGAATGAAGCTGTGCCTGTAGAAGGTTTGTAAGACAATGGGGGGGAATGACAAGGAGATGGGTGAGTTTGCTCTTTGATAGGGTCTCCAGATCAGGATATTTTGCACCCTACTCCTGCCCTGGACAAACTTGGCTGTTCTTCCCAGGAGAGGATGAGTGGTCAGGTCCTGTGGGAGCCAGGTTAGAGGTGCTGGCCTGAGGCAGGCGCAGGAAGTCTTGGGATGCCAACGTCTGAAGGAAACTTGACATACTTCCAGAGTCAGTGCAGTTCACTGGTGACGACATACAATTGCTGTCACCTAGGAAATGAAACACGTTCCCATGGCAACCCCAAGGCTGCATTATTACTCAGCTTCAAAATGTTGACAGTTGGAAAAAGGCCTCTTCAGATATCACCCCCCGCCCACCCCAAGGGTTTTTTTCCTCCTTAATAAATGCACTTTATTATTTAATCTGAAACAGTCAGGGGAAAGGCATATATTTAACTCAAGATACTTCATGTAAATAAACCTTTAGAAGAAAAAAAAGCAAGATGCTTTAGACACTTAAAAATTCTACTGTCTCCTAAAATAGTTCCAGATCCTGTGAAGGTAATTTTAATGAAGTGTATGGCACTTCAGTTGGCTTAAATCATCAGCCAGCTTCTGGAATTTTTTTTAAAATTCTTTTACATAGTTTGAATCACTCTGAAAGTATCCAGCTCTAAACTGTAGCTTTGTTTTGCAACCATATAAACAACTGAGAATTGAAACCTTCATTTTATGGTAGTATGAATGGAGACACGTTGTATGCTGCCTTCAGCATTTCTTCAATATTTTTTCCCATTTTTTTAAACCTGGCCTGGTTTATCTATGCCCTGTCTCTGGGGCACATTAGACTTTTGACTTTCTTGCAAAGTTTGTTACTGGTAACGCAGACAAAGCATTCACCTGAGACCATATTTGTGTTAGTTTTTGCACTGTGGCAACGCGCCCCGTCTTACCCTGTCTTCATTCTCTTGTTTATTTAGCAAAGTACATATTGGCTTTTATTAAATAATTTAATAAATAAATATTAATAAATATTTTATTAAATAATTTTAAAAATATTAATTTTTTATTATTTTCACTTATCCTTTTCCTTATTGATCTCTAGTATTAGGAAGATCTCATTCTTTACCATTTCATCCTATTTTCTATTACTTGGTAGGTTTTCATCTTACTCTTAGTGTCCACCTCCAGGTAGTTATTCATCCAGCGGATCTGATGCCCCTTAACACAAGTCCTCATAATTGCTGAAAATACAGTTTTGGAATTTATGCCCTAGGTACCTGTCTTGGAGAAGTTCCAGACTTCTCATTCAAGTCCCTGACATCCTTGATCCATCTGATCTTACTAATAGAGTTTAACTGAGCTATCTGTTTTAATTGTAGAAATCTGTTGCGGAGTTTTTCTTTACATTTCCAGTTAATTTTAAACAGAGACCTCTTGTGATCCTTCTGTCCAAGGTCATATTCTATATTTAGATTTTTTTATAATGTCCTCACTGCTCCCCAAAAGCTAATATAAATTTGCTTTTCTTACTGCATTGAATAACTGAAGAGGTTAAAGTAGCTGATTGTATCTGTCATATTTAGCTCCTTAATTGTATGAGAAAAAGGTTCATCATTGTTAATATTATTACTCCTTGCTAATGCTGTTGAACAAAATCTATCATTTTACCATGATGTGTTGTTTTTATTTCACTGTAAAATACTGAAATTAAACTTTTGATGTAGTCTGGAAGAAAGAAATCCAGAATAGCTCATGATCAGAATAGCTCACCAAAATTTTCTGTGCTCAGTGTAATTATTACATTTTACATGTAGTGCCACTTCATTCTGGATCCACTAGGAATCAGTAATATATGAACAAAAGTAGATGGTGATTCCTCTGCATTGAGAAGCTTATGTGGACTGTTGCAGTGTTTCACTGTTTCTGATAAAACTAACCACAGCTAAACCTTACAGAGGCAAAGAACTTCTCTCTAGAAGTTTGAGCAATCTTTTTTCTGGAAAGGCAAAGGTATTTGGTGGTATTTGTATTCACCTCACTGTTAACCCATAAGGTTGATATTGGCAATGCTCCCATCAGCTGCTGGTTTGGGAGGTGCTGACTAACCTAACCACAATCAGGTAATATCTTGTCTGTGACTTCAAGTCAGCTGTAGAGATGGAATTGGAATGACAGATTAATCTCAAGGCCCACTGAGATGGGTTAAACCTTTGCAAAGACTGTAGAAAACCTTGCCCCAGAATCTGTTGTATTTCCATAGGCTAATGCTCAGAGATGATTTGAAATAGATGTTAGGTTTCTAACTATCTCTGGAGATGTCCTGGTCTACTGGTGTTCCCTGTCACACGGATTGGAACTGCCTGGGAAGGTGGAATCATGATGCAATAATAATAATAATAATAATAATAATAATAACAGGACAGATGCAAGGTGTATTACCCTTTGGCAGGGATATAAATGCAGATATCTGCATTTTAGGTGGGGTATTTTTTTTCTCCATCATTCATTAAACCCAATGGAGGTTAAAGTATTTGGACAGAAATCAGATAGCTGAGGAGTGATTCAGGGACCAAAGCACAGGCATACATGTAATGTGGTTCTAGATTTCCTGTGGTACCCCAGACATCGGCAAAAGATGGCAATATTTTGATGGCATCTAAAATGTGGCAAATAAAAGGAGATGGCAGCTAAGACGTGGGCTTTACTGGAGACCCACCCTCTTCTAGGGCAGCAGCTGGAAGTCATACTGAATACCTTATGACTTCTAAGAGCACCTAAGTTCCTCTCAAAATAGCTCGATGGATCTAGGCATTACCTATTGGTGTCACTGCTCTGCTGGATGTTCATTTGCTGAGCCCATTGACTCTGTGTGTGAATGCTGTGCGTGCAAGCTTCATTTGCTGGTCATTTCCTCTCAAACAATAAGCTTTTCCAAAGCTCAGCTGTGAGTCCTTGCTGTTCTGCCTGACAATCCTTTTTCTGTTAAAGAAAGATCCTTGTTCTGAGCTCATTGGGGAAAATGACAGACTATGATAAGGTCATTGATTCCTCTGCTGACCTTGACAAAAGGGAAAGTGATTAGAGATCTAAATTTTACTTTCTTTTTGCAAGCTTCCTCAAGAGAGAGGACCCTCTTTCTCCCCAGCCCTGACTTCTCTCCTTGCCCCTCATGTTTTCTATTAGCCTTTTTTTCCCCTAGGTCAACATCCTGTCT